ATTTAAATTTGAATTCAATAATTTCGGAAACATTAATTGCACTTTGCATTTAATGCATATTCACTTACACTTGAAATAATTCAATGACTGAAAAATGAAGAATCTTTAATGTGGTCAATACAAATAACTACTGACCGCATTGCCTATTTTCTCAATAAATTTTGTATTTTCTAATGAACCTTTCAATGCTTTTAGTAATTCATTTATGTTTTTAGAAAAATTATTCAGTTTCAATATATTATTAGCCGAAGTTGTTTCCGACTAGAACACATCAAATTTCAAATAATTTCTTCAATTATTTTCTTAGATAGGGAAAAAATGTTAAATTGATAGGTTTCTCTTTTCCAGTTGCTTAGGCCGTTATGTAGATCAATTCGCAACATTTCTAAAATAAGTTTAAAGTTAAAATTTCATAAAAACCGGTTCAGCCGACAATTAAACGTAAAGATTCCAGGATGATAGACCAACAGCTTGTTGAAAATACGGCATTATCATTCAACATTAGCCTCTTTATTTGCAATGTGGCCAATAATTGATTCTCAGAAAGCATTTTTCTAAATAGCAATTTTTAACTTCTATGTCATAGAACCAAAACAACATGAATTTTTTTTTGAAAATTGTTTCCAATATTCCTTCTGAAATCTTATTGTAAACGGTTTAAAGCTTTAAACGCGGACGTGACTTATATTTTCCTGAGTGATTTTTCTGGGAGAACTCTTTTTAAAAATTTATTCAAACAAACAGATTTGATTACAACAGCTACTGAGACTGTACAATATCATTTAAAAATTTTCAAGTATTCAAGTTCACTGTGTATCCATGGTTGGTGGGTATAATAATGGGATATGTAAACAATAATGGATAATTTTCTGTTTACATCTGAATTCAAAATACAAAATGAGATTATCAAAATTTTAAGTATTCGCATTATCTTGGAATATTATATTTGAATTTTGTATTTGCATCCAAAATATTGAAAATTTCATACTATGTAAATGGAAATTTTTCGATTTTTAAATTAAATTTTTCTAATAATAAAAGAATATTAATCACAGATTTTTCCTAATAATAAAGAAGAGAAGAAGTAAACCAAAATAAAATTTCGGAAAAATTTACTTCATTAGATTTTCATATTGAGATTTGAGACTAGTGCATAAAATATAACTTTGTTAATGAAAATTTTAAAAATTGAATACGAGTACCTCTCAAATCTTAATTAAAAATCAAATTATAAGAAATAAATTTTTTTTTTCTGTAATTGCAATTTGTTTATTGCATAATTTATTAAGATTATTATTGGATTTGAATCTCAAATTTATTTTAGAAAAATATTACTGAAAAAATCTCATTTCGAATAAAGTATCTTTTACTTAATTCGAATTTCATATAGGAGTTTTCTTTAATTTGTGTTTCTAAATATTTTACTATAAAGAAAGTAATTTTCAATTCATAAGAACACCATAATACGAGTATGAGAATAACAAGTGAGTTTCATACACAAACCTAAGATATTCCTGCTGTACAGGGTTTGTAACTATGATAATGTTTAATAATTTAAGAATGCAGTGCTTGTGTGAGGATATAGATAACTATTTAAATCGGATTTTAATTATGTCTTAGAATCGCCGTCAATCCATTTAAACTTGTTCCAACAGCTTCGAAAATAAGTGTTCTAAATAAACGAAAAGAATTTTCTGAAAATAAAATTTTACATGACACTTGAGAGCCTAATATGATATTGTTAGAACTCAAAAACGTGGGATGTTGCTAGGGTGGTCTTCACTTCTTAGGCTGAGAGAAGTTCTCACAGCTGCCCAAAGGATCTTAGACCTATCAGTTTAACGTCTTTTCTATTAAAGATATTGGAAAAGTCTGAAATTTTCAATATCAAATGTGAAGCTTTAAAGTTATCTTTCATGTGAGTCATGCACCACCATTAAATTGTTTTGTCGACATTAATTAAAAGTAAATGTCACTCCGGTGCAATTTCAAACTTAACTTACTAGGAAAACAACTTTTTAAATTCTCAAATTTTTTCTTAAAGTCACAAATCTATCTGTTGTCACAAAAAATATTTATTAATTCTTCTATTTTTAGTACTTAACCACCTTTTTTTTATTATTCATTAAAATTAAATAGAAAAAAATTTGCATAATCTGATTTAATTTTTTTTTTCTAGTCTACTCATGTCAATTTTCACATATAATTGAATAGCAACAATTATTAATGATTCCAAAAAAAAACAAAAAACAACTTTTATTCCAACTTTTATACAGAAAATTTCAATTACCATTACTCCACTTTTGAAATATAACATTTGTTAATGATAAATATTGTTGTATAACACAATGATACACAAAATACTTAATCTTTAAGAAAAAAAAAAATTGGAAAAGAAAAAACATTTTTTCAATTCCAGTACAAGAACAAATTTAAGATTTAGTATGCCTTAAATATTTTCTACTGTTATTGAAGTCTACTCTCTTTATACCCGAAAAAAAAAAATTCTACTCCTACCAATCTTAAATATTTAAATATAAAGAAGTTTTTATACAAAAGTATGCCGCAACAAAAAGTTTAACGGCTTAAATAATTTAAACATTAATATTACCGTTATTCTAAATTACACACAACTTCTTCTTACCGATTGCATTATGCACAATAAGTCAGGTTTAGTGATGGCACCATATTTCACATTTGAGTTTTCGACAGAAAAGCACTTCTTTATTACAGGGAAGCGTAAACAAACTATTTTTAAATATATGTCGGAATATTGGTATGTCGGAATGTTGGTCTGCATGTAGACGAGTGCATTAGACCTTAATTTTCGGTCAACCATTTCTAGAATAGCGTAAATTATATCAAATTTCCAGAAAAGCAAAAATCTAGTATATTAGATAATCTAGTGCTGGATAAACTTGTTCAAAACATTATTTCTTTCATATTTCCCCTGAATATATGCAATTTTTCAAAAAATTCTAAATAAACTTATTTCAGAATAATTTTATTTCTTCAATGCTGCCCCTGAACATATGCAATTTTTCAAAAAATTCTAAATAAACTTATTTCAGAATAATTTTATTTCTTCAATATTGCCCCTGAACATATGCAATTTTTTTCAAAATTATTTACTTAAACCCAAACCTAGAGATTATTTACCTAAAGACCAATTTTAATTCTAACGATTATACAACGTTGGTTCAAGAATACTTTAAATGAATATTACATCTCGGTTAATGTGTTTCTAAAATAACTAAATTTAAATTGTCCTTGCGTTCTTTCAAAATTTTACAAACTCTGACTTATAATTTTTTCGTTTTTCAGATATTTGACCCCCTAAAATGAAGTTCCGGCAATTCCATTGCATATAACAAACATTTTAATGTTTATTCTAATATTTAAATTTCTAAAAATAATTTGCTACATTTCTCAACATGCTTATGGTTTTTAGTAAACATCCTTAAATAAATATATTTTATCATTGATGTTATTGTAACTTGAATTTAATATTGCATTGTAGGCTAGAAAATCCTTTTGTAAAAATATCGTAAAATATTATAAAAAGAAAAATTAAATTTCATAGGGAGTACAACGTTATACACCTTAAATATTAAACAAAACATATTTTATGTTTTAAATCCCATTGTAAATTTACGAAGTAAAATAATCCTTGTTCATTTTCTATATGTATACATCCTTGCATATATACATACAATTGTATGCTAACAACAATTTATGTGTTCATGTAAGAAAATAATTTAATGAAAGAGAGAAAATAGGAACTTCTTTTTTTTATTTTTGTATAAAACGAAAAAAACTCATTGAAAAAATAACATTTTCTTTGTAGAATTTCCAAATAATTTTGAATATTACAAAATTTACAACAATTCATTTGAAAACACCTTTGTTCCATCATTTATAAATGGGAACCTTACCTACGATATAATGAAATTTTCTAGGAAAACAAAAAAACATGAAGAATTATTTTAATAGCTTTCTAAAGTATCGTAAATCTTAAATTATTTTATTTATAGTATTCAAAATATTGCACAGTTTTCTCATTTAAAAATAAAAAATTCCGAAAAGGATTTTTGAAAATTTAAACCCCTTTTCCACAATTCAATTAGCAAGTACATAATTTTAAAGATTAAGATCTTATAAAAATTTAAATCGAAAATACATTATTCAAATTTAGCTTGTAAGCAAAAATTAAAAAAAAAATTCATTATTATTGTTGGAAAATTACAAATTCTTGAAAATCTCTTTTATCACGCATTAATGAATGATAGAATCAATGGAGAGTCGTACGAAACCATGATCAACAAAATTTTGATTGAAAATATGAATGCCTTGCAAACAATCCGGGAAAGGCGTGGTTCCAATACGATTAATGGTATTTGCGTTTTGTTAGGCGGCTTTGATTGGAATTTAGCAATAATTTTTTTGACCAACCAATAAACCAACCAAGCTGAGTGGTACTTACGCAATAAACATGCAATTACTACTATTAAGCAATTCAAATCTATTTCGTTCTAAGTGCCTCCTTATATTTTTGACATTTTAGAATATAAAGTAAGAATGATTAATCACAATTTTAAGAAACTGACAATTACCTCCATAAATTCTTTCATTCATAAATGGAAATTAAATTGAATTTTATAACTTTCCAAGTCTTAAATTGATAAGTTTGACAGCTTTATCAGAATTAATTATAAGAACCTTAACATCAATTTTCTAAAATTTAATAGAATATTTTCTAATAAACTTTATTTTACTAACAGAATTTACGAACACAAGAAAAAAAGAAATTTTATTGCACAATATAAAAAAAACGAGTACTTAAGATAAATTAATTTTTTTCAAGTTATTTATCTTCCACTACATTAATACAATATAGATCACTAAAACAACATTTTCCACCATATTTTCAATTTTAAATGTGAATAAATACAACTCCTATCTCTCACATACATAAAGATAATAATAAATGAACCACTTACCTTTTGCAGTTGGTATCAATTTACTTAAATAAGCGATTGGTGATAATAAAAATAAACTTCCAATCCATATTAATGCAATAAGTTTATATGCATGCTTTAATGTTTGCCATGTCCTTGAACGTAAAGGATGACATATTGCATAGTAACGTTCACATGATATTGCAACTAAAGTCCAAGCTGATACAGAAACCGAACATGCTGCAATTTACATGAAATATACCAAAAAAAAAAAATTGAGTATGTAAGTATAAGTAGGTATGTATAATAAATATTAAAATATAATAAAATAAAATAAAATTAAATAGGAAATTTTTAAATTGCAAAAATTGAAAAAAAATTGCTAGTCCTAAGAGCAAATTACAGGGAGGTATTGTGCTGGTACTAAATTTCACATGTCGAATTTTCACTGAACGATGTATTTTTGCATTTTCTATTTGACCTAAGTGTACTGGAAATCGAATGCATAACCCACTTTCAAACCAAGTACCTGCATTTTACTGCGGCTCAAATTTCACTCTTTCGAAAATATCACCCACAGATAATCAACTGATTTCCTTGAAATAAAATATTTCAGTTCCGATATTTAAAAAAAAATCAATTAATAATTTTTTGAGGGCAAATATCTGGGTTCGGAAACCGAAAAATCGTTCCCGACAATTCTAATTTTTGCACCATATTTATGAAACAAGTTAACGAAATTTCCTGAAAATATAGAATTTGAGCTCCGTATGGCAAATGACACTAACTGGCGACCTTTTTTAGGAAATTAAATATTATAAACTAAATTGAATCCGTACTAAGAATAGACTAACTAGAGTTGAAACTATAGTTGAGTCTATATTAGGAGTCACTAGTATAGACTCAACTAGGCATTATTCACTTTTTCCTAGGCATGATTCTACTAGATTCCTTAAAATTTCAGAGAATTGCTCAATGGAAATTTTCATAATTTTGCGCAACACTTTCGCCCCACCAAAAAATATACGATTTGTTATTGTACTGCTCCCATCCAATTTTTTTCTCCGTTTTATGATGCCCATTAGTTATTTTTTATAATATTCAACACAAAATACAAACAAAACTGCACCAGAATATTTGCTAAATGAGTATTGCTAATGCGACAATATATATGACATAATGCTTTACATAAAAGCAAAGCTTCATTATGGTTACCATAAAATTCTCATAATATTAACCACACACACAAAAAAAAAAACAGAGAGAACGCAATAATGCATGTATATGACATTTATATAAATTGGTTTAATTTAAAATAAAATAAAAAAAAAACTGAAAACCAAAAACGTCTGGAGCATATTTGTTAAAAGGATGACAGTCATTTTTAATTTAATTTTCAGAAAAAATGAAGAAAATTTGTAATGAAGAAAATTCGCTCTATGTAGCTATTTACTTGAGAATGAAATATTGATCAATAAATTATGGTATCATCGTATCAAGTCTTCCACTCCATACAAAACTGAAGGGATAAAATATTATTCCCGAAAAGAGACGAAATAATTCACAATCATATTACTCGTAAGTTTTCTGTTGCATATTTTTATCTTAATTAATTCTTAAGAATAACCAAACTATACATAAATTAGTACTTCATAAAATTAACATTAACGAACCGCGGTCAAATGTAATAATCAACGTAATTTGAATAAATTATTTTGAAATTTTAAAATATTCTTAACCCTTTAACTACCCATCCAAAACTGGTAGAGAATTCATTGCCGAAATCAAAATTAAATTTTTATTTAAATATGAAATAGCTCCCAAATCACACCGAGCCCAAATAGCATCGACTGTAATTGACAATATAGCGAAAGGGTTTATTGGTGTCTTTAAAATCAAAATTTGCTTTAGTTTTTTAATTTTTCGAGAAAATTTTAAATTGATTTTCCTCTGAAATTCAATTATCTTAAACTGGAATGCTCGTAAACGTCGGTGATCATAGCATCATATCTATCTTAACCCTATATTATATGACAATACAAAACTGCCTTAATCTTCCTAACACAAATACGGAATATTATTCAATATTTCAACTCATATTCCAATCTATAACTTAGCAATAATTCAAGTTTACAAGAAGCTTTTCAGTTAACAAATATCCATGAATTTATTAACCTATGGTTCTAGTTTGAAAAATTATTCATCATCTGTTTTCCTTTGTACTCAGTAATTCAACTTCAAGGTATGCTTAATGCCGAAATACACTTTGTAAACTTTTAAGAATTTTTAATGAATTCGTTAAAAAAAAACATCACTTTTTCAACTCAAGAGTCTTGTGATTTTCAGATTAAAAGTTTAAAAACTTAACTATGTTAAAAAATATAACAGACTGCAAGTCTTTACTAACACTACAGTAAACTTTTTTTAACTTAAGAAACTTTTTCTCATGAAAGTGCTGTTGTATGCCACTGCATAAATATTATTGTCTCATCTTTAGTTTAATAGTTGATAATCTTCCAACTGAATACGAAAATTTTGGAATTCATAAAAGTTTATCTTAGATTAAGTCTTCTCATCATAATATTTTACTTTTAAATTTCTTATAAAAAAAAATTAACGTTCTTTTTAGAAAATATTTTCAAAATTTTTATTTTTGCATAATTTTTAATATTGTTCTCTTATAAACACACATATATACAAAGCAAAATGTTCATCAGAATAATAATGTATCATTAAAATGCACATACATTAAGTCAAAATATAGTAAAATTCCGACAGAACTACTCTACATATCTCATGTATAGTTGTTGCACGTTTATTCATAAAAATTGCACTTTTTAGGTTGAAAAATGTGAACATATGACAAAGAACATCCTTGTTGATTCGAATAACTTCATCATTCAATGGTATATATAAAAATAATGGTACAATAAATTGTGCCAAAATTATTAAGAGAACATTATTCTATTACTTATTTTTTTAAATTTTCATAAATATTTTGAAGAAAATAAATTTAAAGAAAATTGTTATTCCTATTCTATAGAATTTAAAATATGAAATTAAATGAATATTTTTATTATGCAATATTAGGTACATGGTCGCATTATTCTGCGATGACAACCACCCTATGTCTGCCATATAAATTTATCCCTTAAATTTGAATCTCGCAAGAACTTAGCTAAAATTAATAACGTACTTATGTGTGTCATGATCCCGCCATTAAGAGAATTTATAATTTTAGTTCAATTTTAACTCTGAACATTAACTGATTACCCAAAATTTAAATCGCTACAATTTACACAATTATCTAAAATTAAACGATCTGATATGGTTATTACCTAAGACAAAAACCAAGCCAACTTTAACAAATAAATGTAAAATGAAATTACTTAAGTGACTCATCTAAAAAACAGCATTAAGATCAGTAAAAACTGCAGAAACACATTGAGTACTAATTGGAGTTCAAAAAATCCGATTCTATTATAAAATATGTTGCCGTCAGGACACCCATGATTTAATTCAATACATAACCAGAATAATAATTCAATTGGTTTAAGTCTATAATAAAATATTACCAAATTTTGGAATTAACTAAATGAATGGACGAAAACTCTGAAAAATCATATATAAATTATACAAAATCTAGGGAAATTCAATGAGCTAAATGGAAAAGAACTAACAATTTGTTATTCATTGCACTGGCAACATTGGATAGCTTTAAAATCAAATGCTATTAAAATCAATTTGCACAATTTTATTATTGATTTCATATTTTTCTTAAAATTTCTATATAGCGAATTCATTCGTATGCTATACTAGAACATTATTAGAAATAAAGAGTGCACTGGCAGGTTAATATAAAACATAGTTCATTCATACATTATAACAGGAAGGTTTTGAAAATGATTTATGCAAAAGTTTTCTGTCAAAATTTAAAAACAAGATTTTGAAAATGTTAAACGAATGTAAAGTGAACACAGGTAACCATTATAAATTTATAAAACATTTAATAAAAGTAAAAAAAAAACTTTAAATTGAGAAATAGCTAAGAATAGCAAAGAAGAATCAAGGATATTTTGAAATTGCGAAAAAAAATGAGAGTAGTTCTAGGAAAATTCGTTAATTTACAAACAAAAAAACAAAAACCCCTTTGATATCTAAATCTAAAAATATTTTTTTCATAGAAAAGTCAAAATTTAGAGAAAATCTGACAAGTGATATTATTAAAATGTAAATTTTTTTGACAATTATCCTTTAGCTCTAAAATGATAAGATTATTTTTTTATGTAAAATGTAAAATAAGGTTTTTCTATAAAATGATTTTTATTTTGTTGTTTTTGTTTTTTTCTAATAATATTTTCGAAATGATGCTAGTTTCTATTCTAAGTGATTTTTTATTCAAAAGAAATGTAGTAATTTTGACAGCAAAAAGATTTTACGTTTAGAAATAAATCTCTACTGAATAAACAAAATGGTAGCTTTAAATCTGTTGAATCAATTCTTCGTTCCACGTGAAACAGATAAACCTACCTATACACTGACAAAAATATAAAAGAAAATTTAGTTAACATTGTAGTTACATGATCTAAATTCAATTAACATGCTTTTTCTCTAACGTAACATTTTACTCTATAATAAGAAAATGTTTAAATAATTTAACATCTGTAATATATCTGCTTACATCTGCTTGTAAAGATCCCAACCGGGACTATTATGGTCATTAGGAGAATAGGTTAACCGCGATACGGTAGAAGGTTATCAGTATGTACATGCATACCAAAGTTTTATTTACATTATTCTTGTAATGTCATTAATATGCCCTTTTATTGCATACTTTTAGGCGAACGGAAATCAAGAGAAACATTCAAGAGAAAATTGCGGTAATTTATAGGATAAACAAAATTTATTACTCAATATTCTGTTAAGAAATCTAAAATTCAGTCAATGTCGCTCTTCTGTCTTATAAAAATGTGATGAAGCTTACAAAAGTTTCAAAAACAAAAGAGCTGCCGAAAATTCAAAATTAACTAGCAAATTGTATATTTCTTGAGCATGTCCAAAGCAATCAAGCTCTCTAACATAACACGAAAATGATAATAAGTTTTGGAGGCAAATATAGAAAGAAAAACAATATTGAATTAGAAGATAAAGATTTTTGAATTAATGCTAATATTTGCACTTTATTCGAAAAGTAAGTTCTTTTTAAACGGATTAAAATTTTCAACTAAAGTTGATCAGTAGGACAGATAGTTTTATCAAATGCTGTCGCACCCCTTACTAGCTTGAAATGGAAGAGAAATAAGCCAGAAAATCATTCTAGCCTTATAATTTTTCCTGTCCAATTTTGTGTCTCGTCGGCATTTAAAATAAAAAATTTATAATATAAAATATATAAAAAAAAATTTTAATTAATAAACTTACCTTGTAAATATGGTAAAACTTTACACATAAATCTACCAAATATAAAATCACGTAATAATGCACCAACTAATGTAGGTGGCATACATAAAACTCCCAATAATATATCAGAAATAGCTAAATTTAATAAAAATAAATTTGTAATTGTTCTCATACGACGATTTTGAACTAATGTTAAAATAACTAATAAATTTCCAACAATTGCCAACATAAATATTATCGCATATAATGATATTTGTAAATTTCCCATACCGGTTGTACTACCGGTTGTACTACTTCCACTATTACTTCCACCACTTCCACTTGTTGTTGTTGTTGTACTACCACCGGTAATTGTATTTTCAGCATTATTAATAATATTTGCGATATTATCATTTCGTATACTTTTTTCAATTGTTGATATTGTATAATTTGTAATATTATTAATATTAATTGTATCATTAATATTAATACCAATATATGAACCAAAATTAATATTAAGATCATAATTATTAATTGGTATAATATCAGTTCCAATATTAATATTATTTACATTATTATTTGTTATAATTATATTATTATCATTTATAATATTATTATAAATGTCATTATTACCATCATCATCATCATCATCATTACTATTATTATTATTATTTGATTTTGTATTAATTATTGTACCGTAATCATCAATAATTGTTGTTAAATTATTAATATTATTTTTATTATAATTATTATTTTTAAGATTATTATTATTATTATTATTATTGTTGCTGTTGTAATTTTCTAATATAATTTCATCAGCTAAAACTGATGATATATTATTAAAATATTCAGTTGTCAAATATGCTGCCAATAATTGAAATGATGATGACCATGACACATTCGAATTTAATTCTTGCTCAGTAGCATTTAGTATATTTAAAGTACTCATAATAATGATTTCACATTTATATAAAATTATTTTTTAAAATTATTTAATTATATTGAATTGTTTTATAATATGATTATTAAATCAATTGCTTTAAAAAATTTTATATGGCATCTTGATTTTGCAGATTTTTTAGCTGCTTGTCATTTTTATTCAATAATTTTCTTTTATACTTCATTGTTATGACCATTTTATTGAAATTTTTTTTTTAAATAAACTCTTTATATTTTTTATATTTTAATTGAATATATTATTTCTCGTTTTATAGTTTTTCTGAATTATTAAAATCATAATAATTATTCTGGTATTTTATGTAAAATTTTATTTCTGCACATTTTTTTTTTCTTCTTATTAATTCATTATCCTTTTTTCATAATAATCCTCTTTGTTGAATAATAATTATTTCATAAATTATAAAATTTATAGAAAATTCAAGGTTCATATAATATAAAAATAATTGTATATTCACATTTTATTTTCCCCCATTTTTGTGGTAAAACTGTTCCCATATTGTACAACACTGAAGCTGCAAAAAAACAAATTTGAAAAGAAAAAGATTAATAAATAAATTAATTGTTGAAAATATTTTTTTTATTTAGAAAACAAAAAATAAATATGGTTCTTAAATATTACGCATACATACAGAAAATAATAATTTATATAAGTCGGAATCTAAAAATAGAATTCCTTAACCCTCAAGCTAAAAACAGTGTACAAATAATTAAAAAATTTGTTGAGATTTTGCATTAAAACTTTAAATATCACAAAGTTCTGACAGAGACAACACTTTAATTTTATGATTTTATGGATATGGTACAGGTAGGCCACAAAATATTTTACCAACAAAAGGTAAATGCTCTCATATCTTTTGAAATTTTACAATAAAAACGTTTTGAAACTCTTTGCTCCGTTCATAAATCTCTGTTGATTAGAATTTTAGAATATAATAATATTATCGAAATAAATTTAACCGAAAAACTATTAAGGCGTACATTTTGACCCCGCAATATAAAAATATTTTAGCTTAAGTTTTGTTGAAAGCGATTCTCAAAATAAAAGACATTAAAATATCATTTACATAAAAGATATTTGGAGTGCATATGTACCTCGTAATGTTTTAAGGGTTAAAATAAAAAATTAAAGTCATTGAAATTTGTGGTGGAAGAAAATTCATCAAATTCCGATTAAGATATTCCAGTTACAAATGTTTATTGTAACATATAAATTGCTCGTCCAAGCCTATATGAACCTTGCAATAACAGAAAATTTAGTCAGTCATGTCATGTCAAACTCAAGCAAAAAACTGTGTACATTAGTTGCAAACAGCCTCGGAAAAACAACAACGACAGAAAGATTAATTTCTAATTTTCAACTTTAATCAAAGATTCAAACCTTATTATTCTAGTTATATTTCAAAGGTGTACCAAGGTGACATGAAATTTTTTTGTTGAAAATAACACAAATTTTTTACAAAATTCCAATTTATACGGTAACCAGGACATTATAAAATTATAAAATTTCCGATTTATATTTCATTTGTTGAAACTTGTTTTTAAAGAAAAAACGTTGTTCGGTGCAGGTCTATCGAAAAGGATCGGAAAATATATCCGTAACAATTCACACCATCTACGTTATTGAGTAAATTTTAGTTTACTTGGGAGTAATTGGGTGTAAAGAGGTGTAGTTGTGAAACGTAAAAGAAACGCTTGCAACAATTTTCTCCCTTGTTAGTCTTAAATATTAAAAATTGAAAAAAACTTCAATAATTAGTTTTTTATTCCAATTAATGTTAAAATTTAAGAAGAATTTTTAATTACAAGTAAAAAAAAATAATATTTTTTAATATATTCCAACTTCTAGATGAAATTTCAAATATACTAAGAGGATTCAATGAATTATTAAAAATGTTGTCATTATTTTGTGGCTTTAAAGTTTACATGTAAATTTGTGGTATAAAAAAATGAAAAAAAATATAAAATTTACCATTTTTACCATGTTTTCAAACTATATTAATTACATTCATCATTATATTTACATATATCTGCATACATACTTACATACAAATTTGTAGAGAAAAAAATATGCCAAGAGCGATATTGTTTTTTTTTTTGTGAAAAACATTTTCCTGGCAGGCAGCAACTTTACTCAGAAAACATTATACAAGAAGCACAAGTACAAGTCACAACATTAAAATAAATTTTTTTTTTATTTTCATTTTTGGCATCATCAGAAAATTTTTAATTTTTTTTTCGTTTTTCAGTTGCTCTCTTTATTTAAAAAGTTTTGATCATTCATTTGCTACTTATGTAATATAAGTAGCGTAATATATAATGTTCAAGGAAATACGCAAATTCAATATGTGACAAGAAGAACGTTAGCACCTAGCTAAAATAAAAAAAAAAAATTGAAGTGGCAAAGTGGGAAACTTTTTTTAAAGTCAAATAAATTCATTTTTTTTTTATAGCAGGTTTTGATTTATTCAAAGTCCCGCCTCAGTTTTGTACAAGAAAAAAAATTATTAAAACATATTTTTTATTTAGGAGGATAAACAGGAAAAAATTCGAAAAATTGATCGATAATTTTAAATTAATTGAATGTGAGGAAAGTATAGAGAGTAAAGGTTACAAATCTTTTAGAATATGAAAGAAACAAGTCAAATACTGGGTAACACTAACGATTCGTTGGAATTTGTTTTTATTTTACTGTAGATATAAGGGCAATCAATTTTTACAAAATATTTTTGTATGAAGTGGGAGGGCAGGGACAAAAATTCCAAAAAAATTTCATTACATAACAAATTTCATTACATAACAATCATTTCTAACCAAAGTTTAAAAATTATATTTGAAAATATTTAAAGTTGAAGCGAGAAGATCGGATTTTTACTATCAACATAGTGCTGATTTATATAATAATAACAATGATATTGTCATCGCTACAATAATCAACCCTCGAATCTGCAAAATTTTAATCAAAGAGACCAAATATTATAGCAATATTGTTGTGTGTGCATACATAAGTTCTTCGTTCTCGCAAAGTCTAGCGTATGTTTTCAAAAACTAAACCAAATTTATGTTCTTCTGATATTCCCAGAAATACGATTTTTTCCCATGCAATATCACAAAATTACAATTTTGCAGATTCGTGAATTTGCTAATGTGGGGGACACGATTACGGTCTATTTAAGAAAAAAATTAAAAATATATGCAAGACTACAACTAATGATGAATTTATAAAATGGCTTTTCAACTTTCGAGGCAATTTTCGAGGATGTTTTCGAGAGAAAAGAGAAAAAAACTAATTAATCAACTTTTTTTATATCTCAAATTCACTTATTTTTTCTTTTCATTCTGAAGAAAGGATAATTAACTCCTATAACTATAGGAAAACTTTCTAATAAAAAATAAATTTTCTTTTTTTTTTAAAAAAACCTTCATAATAATTTAATATCAATTTTTAACCTTTTTAACCACTTTCAAATAAATCAAGACAAAACAAAAACCTGAAGATAACCTTTTTTTTTTCATTCGAAATTCAATTAAAATAATAACGTAGTGGCACCTTTTTATTGCACACAAAAAAAAATAACAACAAAAATGTGAAAATGAAAAATTAAAAAGGAAAGTGAAGAAAATAAAGAACTTTTATAAAAAGTTCTTCTAAAATTGATTGCATGATCAAATGAAATTAGGTTAAGAAGACTTTACTGTTTTGATTGATGGAATTAAGTTAAGTAGGTTAAATAAATTTTTTGTTTTTATTGGCGTATCCTTTATAAAGTAATAAAATTTTAAATTTGATAAATCTAGAGAATTTTTTGAAAAAATATAAGGAGTTTTAAAATATCCTTGAAAGAAATATACAGAATTTAATCTAAGTATGTGTTTATGGTAGGGATAAAGGTACACATATAAGTGTACATATAGGTCGGTGCCCTTAGCTTACATAATACGTGAATTGCTTAATTTCAATCAGAAAATTTAATTAAATTAATTAACAAACAAATACAAAATTGTCGTCAAGCATTATTAAAAATTAAATTCTATTATAGAGCATAATTAAAATTCAATGTTAGGTCTATGATTCTGTGAGAAACCAAAATTATATTAAAATGAAAAATGCATTAGTTTTCATAATCATTAAAATCATATTTCAATAATATTAATTAAAAAAATCTGTATAAGAAAATTGAAAATTTTATATGTCATGAAATTAAAAAATTATTTTTAAAATATTGAAATTTTTCAATTGGAATTGCATTTTTCATTTAAACTCTGCTTTCCTTTTTTGTAATTCGAATGATGAGTGTATAATCAGAATACAAAAGAAAAGCTGCAACGTAAAACTCATTAAAATACGGATTATTAAAGTGCACAGAAAAAAAAAATATTAAGCAAATAATGACAAAATTTGTAATTTTATTGTTATTATTACTCAAGGTTATTCAAAGTATTCGAATATTCGTGGATGAAGAAGAAAAAATCAATAAATCTCACATTTAATCGCAGCAAAAAAAAAATCAATATAATTTTCATAGTGAATTTCATGATTAAATCACAACATTGTTTAAGACACATTTAAATTGAATGAGATTTAAGCACCCAAATTAAAATACACTAAAAAAAAATTTATCTGTAATTCTTTAAATATATAGTACAGCATAAATTTTCCATAAAATCGTAATTGCTAAGGCATTTATTCGAAGCATAAGACTATACTCTTTCAAATAGAAATAATTATGGTTTAAAAATTGACAATGAATTAAACTGGAACTATCACGTAGACGAACTCAGTAAAAAATGCAGGAAAGTAGCTTTTATTTTTAAAAAAGTATCTTCAATCATACCTGACAATTTAAAAAGGCAAATCTACTATAGTATGTTTCATAGAACCTGGGTCGAAAAAAAACTTAGACAAAATAAGAGTATTGCAAAACAAAGCTATCAAAAATTTATATGAATTACCATTAAGAACATCATCTGACCAACTATATGAAAAGCTTAATCTGATTCATGTCAATCGTCAACTAAAACTGCTACAAATTGAATATATACACAATATTTTACAAAAACACATCTTAACAAACACTCACTTTACACAAGGAACCCAGATCCACAGCTATGCAACAAGAACTGCTACAAATTACAGAACAGACAAGGGTGGATCCAATAAAATATATAATGCTGCTGTATCAGAATACAATAAAATTTAAACATTGTACACTCTATACGAGCAGACCTTGCTCTTCAGAGAAATAAATAAATAAATAAAATTATCGATCGAGTTCATTATCACGTCAAATTAATAGAAGACAATTTTTTATTTGCAAACATTTATTTTTCAGAGAAATCAACCATAGGAATAGAAGGAGTAGAACGAAATTTTCTTCTAATAAAATAAAATATTCATTCATCAACATCCATAAACATTTGTACATTGAAACTCACCCGATTTGCTGTAAAAAAGATGATTTCATTAAAATTTTAAAATTTATACCAAAATCAAATGATTTCTTCGCATGTGTGC